TGATGGTTGGGGTTTGGCATACTAGGGTTGAGCAGAATTAAGGTTTTTAGTGTTGGCTTTAGTGTTTTAATACGATAGGCAGAATGGTTGGTGTGTGGCTGTTTATGTGCAGTGTCTTTAACCTGAAATTACCCTAGCAAAGAGAAAGGGATGGAAAAAGTGAGAAGGAGAAGAATGAGAGATCTCATAATCAAAATAGTCTGAAAATTCTCTAAATAACTCCAGTCTCATAGAAATCAACTCCAATAACTTTCAATGTACAAAGAGTGTTCATAGGCATCGGTTATGAATACCATTTGAAATTTTGAAGTAGTATTCCTAAAATCATCAAGATAAAGGAATAAACTCAATTAAAATGAAATAAGGAGCAAGTATTCTATTAAAGACATGCAAACCTAGACCTCTTTGGCCTAGCTGTGGCCTGTTTAGAAGTTCTACCCTTCTTTTTTTCAGCCTTCATTTAGAAGTTCTACTTAAGTAGATATTTTGCAGAATTGTTGAATAATGAATTCATATAAAATAATCATAAAAAATTAAAAATATTCAAAATTGATAAAATTTGTCAAATTCAGAAACTTAACAGCAGAACATCTACTCTAGAAGCAACAGGTTCTGAGCTTCCCTTTAAAGCTGTTTTCAAAAAGCTGAGAAATCATTTTAGAAGTTGAGCCAAACAGGTGCCTAATTATACTGTAATAAGATGATGGATTGGGCGCCATGATAAGCCTGATAGGGCTACTAGAGAATTGCCAGAACTGCTTTGGAAGTAAAATCTATTTAAACTGCTAAGCTTTTATACTAATGTTCAAATAACTAATATAGACACTTGCCTGCCCTTGTACCAAAAAGGCATTTTTGTCATTGCTTCTGTCTTAGGCTTTTGGTGGATACTTTATCCTAACCAAGTAAGTAATAGTCCATCAAGTGGATTGCATATTTTCAAATGGCTTTTTCAACTGGAATGATGTCATCCGTTCAAGAAGCAAGTATTCTTTTTTGTCATGAAGCTTTGTCCCTGAAGCCAATGTTGGAGGAATCATGGGAATTCTACCTGTTGAAAACATGATATTGTTTGATCTCCTCAAATTCCAATATATTGTTGGAATCAGATTCAATAGAAAGGGGTGGTTATCAGGAAACCCTATATCCAAGATATTTAGGCTCCATTTAGTATAGTTTTGGTTTTGGGTTTTTGGTTTTATTTTTTATATATTTAGTAACTAGTAACTATATTTAAATTAAATTTAATTTTTTATGATAAATTTTGATTTCTAAATATAGTAATAGTTACTAAATATATAAAAAATGAAAACTCAAAACCCAAAACCTAAACCTTACAACAGAGCCTTAGCATGCAGGCTTTCTCAATTTGAATATTTCAAACAAAAGGGTCCCTCAGTAAAATCACATCAAATATTTTTTTTTCTTCTCCTTCCTTAACAGAACATTGCTTTTCTTTTATCTGTTGTCGTAATCCATCCAGATATATCTTATTTAATATTTATGAAAAATGAAGAAATCTATCTGAAAATCAGAAACTGACTCATAATCAGGTAAAAGTATGTAATTAGAAATGTCCTTACTCAAAAGTATCTTCATTCAACTTTTGTTTTCTGTACAAGATAGCAACTTTAAGATTGTAACTCTGAAGCTGTTTTTGAGAATATTTTGTAGCCCAAACTTCGTTATATTTGGACAAGGGATTTCCCCTTTTTAACTAAGACTGTTTTGTCATTTGATTTCCCTTTTTTTGGAACTTCAGTAATTGTTGGGGAAGGGGAAAGGGGATTGATTAAAAGGGATAGAACTCTGGCCATTTGGTTGGTAGCCCAAGAGGCAAACCATCTAGGCTAGGGCCTGAGTTCTGTTTTGGCATTTGCATTGACGAGTTTTAGTTCAAATTTTCAAAATGATCAAATTATCAGATCCCTGGAAAATGTTAAACTATGTTAAGCAACCTGAGTACCAAACTAAGAAATAAGTGAAAAGAATCCACTAACTGAAATGAGAAAAATGGTTTATATTTTTCATATGTCTGTGTATGCCTTGGTTTTCTGATTGCTCTCTGTTGATACCCTTTGAAAGTTTTCTCATGACATTTAATCATTTTTCCCTTGTACAAGATTGATAGATGCCCTAGAGATGATGAAACAAGGTGTGAGGCGGCTCCTTGTCCCGAAGAGCAAGGTATGGAAAGGCATGAGCAAGCGGTTCTCAATTCTTTATAATGGCAAGTGGCTCAAAAACATTGAAACTGGTAGTAGCAATAACCTCCCTTCCAGCAGCAACCGACCTTCCTCTTCTTCCACCAACTCCATGCGTGACAAATTTTGCTGTCTCTCAAGGGAAGACGTCATCCGTTTCCTTATTGGTTGCCTCGGTGCTTTAGCTCCACTTCCTCTTTCTTCTATTGCTTCCGTTGGAGCTATTAACCAGCAGTATAACTCTATTGAAGCTTCCCTCCCTGCCATTGTAGCAACCAGGAAACCACCTAGTGACCCCTATGCAGTTGCTGTCGTGGAGCCCACACCAGATGGGAAGCATAAAATTATTGGTGAAATCTCAGCATCCAAACTTTGGAAATGTGATTACTTAGCTGCAGCATGGGCTTTAGCCAACCTTTCAGCAGGACAGTTTGTTATGGGGGTTGAGGATAATGTGACCTCAAGATTGCTCCCCGACTTTCCAGTGAACTCATCAGTTCGAGATGATAATGTAGCAAATGGGGTTAGCTCAACAAGGCCAAGGAAGTTCAGTAGTCGGAGCATTGGGTTCAATCCAGGAAGCTCAAGTTTCGGGATTGGAAGGAACATGTACAGGGGCAGAAGTGCACCATTGACCTGTAAACTTACAAGTTCTTTGGCTGCAGTGATGGCTCAAATGCTATCTCACAGGGCAACTCATGTCTGGGTGACTGAAGATGAAAGTGACGATGTTCTAGTTGGGGTTGTTGGGTATGCTGACATCTTATCTGCTGTGACCAAGCCGCTACCCGCTCCTATGACTCCAGGAAGCCAATCTAACGAGGCATTTGGGGATTGAAATTCAAGAACTGTGCTCTCTTCCCCGCTTCATTTTGGTTAAAAATAAAATTTGGTTTCATTCTTGTGCTTGTAGCTTGCATTATTACATCATGCTATTTTGATGGGGATTCCATTTTCCGTAGTTTTATAAACATGTTGGGTTTTATTTTGTTGTTTTTGAGCTTATTGAAATGTTCTACAATTTTATGAAACAATAATAAGATGATTGCAATTATAATGCGAGTTTTTTTTTTTTTTTTTTAAATGTCACATTTTTTTAATGAATTTTGATGACATATCCGATGCAAATCTGAGTTTATACAGTTTTATAAAAGGTTACTAGTAATTTTTAGAGGTAATTTAATGATTAAGAAGCTAAAATTTTAAGTTAGAGGTTTTAAATTTAAATTTTGAATTGGATGAAAAGAAATTTAGTTTTATTTTTTCTTATATAATCTATTTAGATGTATAAAAAATAAAAACTAAAAGCTTACTTATAAGAGTTTGGTTCTACTGATATTTATTAATTTAAATATTTTAATTTAAGATTAAATTTTAAATTTTAAATTTTTATAATATTAAGTAGTAAAGTTTATCGAACCAACTCATTGGATTTCTTGGTTTACCATTTGATTCTAAATGCTTGGATTCAAATAGGTTAAAAATTTTATTTCCACCTATTATTTGAAAAATATCTTCATATCTCTCAAATTACCTCATGTTAAAAAAAAAATAATAATTCAAGTTTATTCTTATTAGTTAAAAAAAAAAAAAAAAAGGGGTGGGGGGGCCTGGGAAGCTGGTGCCTGGTGTTTCAACAAATACATATTTCCGCTTCCTTCGGGTTTACTTTTCATATATTTTTTCTACACCACATTTTACTTTTAAATATAATATTAATTTGTTATTATTAATTAATTTTAATTAATTTTTTTATAATATTATGTTTTT